TTCCGGTTGTGTTTTTTCCTGACAAAAATGCGCAGTTTGATCCTCTTTTTGTGATTTTTTTTTTTTAGGTCAGCACGCCGAAGCGCTGCGTTTGTGAGCATCGGTGATGTTTTCTTGCGCGGTCCGGCAGTGTACACAGTACTTGCCATATCGTTCAGCAATATGTCAGCTCCTATTCCAATTGAAACTGTCATTGCCGTGCACAGGTATCTCATTTCTTGTGAAGCATAGTTGCGCTGCAAGAGCCAAATTTTAGTTGAATGCATGAGATAAAGAAATAAAGTGTGGGATTTTTTATTGCGTCAATCCCCGCTGGTTAGGTTTGCAGTAGTTTATACCGTCCAGGTTTAGCCTGACAAACGTGCAATATATTCTTGGCATAGCATGCCTCAGCAATGACCAGTCCGTTCCAGTTCCACGTGCTGATAAGGCGGATGGGTCGAAGTTTCGGAGCATTTGGCATGCATCAGTAATGCTGCTCCCACACTGAGGTTTAAGAGTTGGTCTCTGCCAATGAGACATCTAGGCTAGGGTTTGTTTAATCATTTCAGTGGTGAATTGATAATAATTGCACAATGGCGGGGATTCAAAACTACGACAGCTGAAGAACACTCTGACGTGCAAATCTCCGTCAGAGCAAGTTCGGCAGAGATGACTGCATTACCACTCCGAGTACTTTCGGATGCGTCTCTCTCTCTTACAGAAAGCGTTCTGAGCAACAAAATGAGTTCTAGTAGGAGAGAAAATCATTTCTGCTGCGCTGTTGTAGTTGTTGCTGATAGTAGGTTTAACTAAGTGCGCTAGATCTTTTGTAATCTTTTGGCTTGAGAGCTTTCTGAGTCTCAGTGAGTGCAGGCGGTGAACGTTGCTCGTGAGTTTGCTCGTAACTTTGGTCAAACGTGTCAGCGAAGATGTGTTGTGCGGTGCTGCTGTGGGCAGATCAGAGCATGTATGCGTGTGGCACTGAGGTGCTAAAGTACAGCAAACGGCTTCATGCAAGCAGTGCTTAGATGGGTTTCAACTAATTGCGCTTCCGGGTGATTGGTAGTAAAGTGTTGGCGCCTAAGTCAGTGTTAGCCGCCCGGCTTCTGAATCCGTGGAAACGTTGTGTTGCTCACCAGTTATTTCAAGC